GAGATGCACGGATCTCAGGAGGTCTTTTGGGGCTGGGGCTCCGTGACCTCGCCGGATATGCACCTGTGGCAGAGTGGTGCCATGGCACTGTTGGTCTACCAGCGGCAGCATACGCTGTACGTCGCCAATATCGGGCAGACTGTCGCTGTGCTCTCGCGCGCTGGCGGCATGGTGCGTGTGCTTGGCAAGCAGCACGATCCACTGCATCGCGACGAAACGGAACGCATTCGAGCCGCGGAGGGATGGGTATCGCTGCGCAACTATGTCAACGACAAGACTCCGGTGGCCCGTGCCTTTGGTCATTTTCATCTGACGCCCGTCATTACAGCGTGTCCCTCTGTCCACTCGATCGAGCTGACTGATGCAGACGAGTTTGTGATTGTGGCCAACACAGAGCTGTGGAAGTATCTCTCCTACCAAATGGCCGTGGATATCGCGCGCATGGACCACAACAAGCCGCGCATTGCGTCCCAGAAGCTCCGCGATATGGCTATTGCCTACGGCGCCAAGGAACCTATCGCAGTGATGGTTGTGACGGTCGCTGGCCTCTTCCACGAGCACCTCAATGTTCATGCCACGCAGCGTGCCACCGTGGACAAAACACTCATGCGCCGCGGCCGCAATGATATGGACAGCACCCTCGCCCGCCTCGAGCGTGAGGTGATGCCACCCATCGGACAGGTGGCGCTCGTGTTCACCGATATCAAGAATTCGACGCTGCTATGGGAGACGAATCCCAGTATGCAGTCAGCGATTCGGCTCCATAACCTGCTGCTTCGGCGCCAGATGCGGAGTATCGGCGGTTACGAAGTCAAGACCGAAGGCGATGCGTTCATGGTATCGTTCCCATCGGTCTGTGCGGCCTTGCTGTGGTGCTTTAGTGTCCAGATGCGTCTGCTCACCATCGACTGGCCCCAGGAAATCCTCGACTCTCCCACGACCCAAACCGTCTACGCCGACGACGGCACACTCCTGTACCGCGGACTCAGCGTGCGCATTGGTGTGCACTGGGGCTGCCCTGTATGTGAGATCGATCCCGTCAACAACCGCATGGACTACTTTGGGCCGATGGTCAATCGAGCGGCCCGAATCAGCGCTGCCGCGGACGGCGGTCAAATTTTGGTCAGCCGAGATGTGATCCAGGAGTTGGAGCGTGTATTTGAAAAGTACAAAGACGACGAGCATTTGCCGCACTCGGCAGGTAGCGAGGCGGTGTCCCACAGCGGCACACCGCGCGACGTGGTATTTCTTCGTCGGCTGGGTCTAGGTATCATTTCCATGGGCCAGCGCCGCCTGAAGGGCATTGAGGCGCCCGAGCATCTCTCGATCGTATACCCCAAGATGCTCGCAGGACGGTACACGCACCTCGCTGGCGCTCGACGCAGCAGCGGCCTGTTCCAAATGTACGAGCCCACCAAGGAACTGCTGGCACTCACGCAGGTCAAGCAGCTGGGCTATGTGTGTCTGCGTCTCGAGTCACTTTCGAATGCGCGGTGTTTCCCAGGGATCGATCCTCGGGATCCGTGGTCCGATGCCGTGTACGAAGGCCGTCACAGGCCCAGCCAGCCCGTTCCCAGCGCGCAGCGCAGCGCATTGGTTCAATCGTGCGTCGAGCGCGCACCTGAGATGCTGATTATCGCTTCGCGCGAGGATGCTACAGACGCCGAACTATTTCCTATCTTGCGCCAGCTTGTCACGCGCATCCGGAACAGCATTCACACGATCACGCTCCAGTACGCGAAACGCGCTCCTGACACGTCCCAGGTGCTGGAGTTCCTCTTCCGCGGACTGGAAGAGTAGCCGCCAAAGCAATGATATAGAGCTTTGCTGACGAATCATGTACACGGGTATGGGTGCAGGTATGTCATAGGACAGGGCGCCAAATTCTGGCCCTATCAGATCCCCTATCTGCGCAACACGTGCATATGCATGTCTGCCACGACCGGGATGGGTCGCTGAGAAAGTCGGGCGTAACGGTTTTCTTTCGTCTGACCACCGCTTTTTCGTATATCCGACATGTCGTACATCCAGAACTTCATGGGCGCTTCGTACCCTATTCACTCCGCCGCTGAGATCAAGGATGCCGTCACTCCCGCCAAGCCCCCGACGGGTGTGGACCTGTACGCTCGTTTCGCCCTGGCCGGTGCTATTTGCTGTGGTGTGACGCACGGTGCCATGACGCCCATTGATGTCGTCAAGACCCGTATCCAGCTGGAGCCTGCTGTGTACAACAAGGGCATGTTTGGCAGCTTCAGCCAGATCGTGCGTACTGAGGGTGCTGGTGCTCTGCTCACCGGTTTCGGCCCTACCTGCTTGGGTTACTTCCTGCAGGGTGGTCTCAAGTTCGGTGGTTACGAACTGTTCAAGAAGGTTATTGTCGAGAACATTGGTATGAAGACGGCCCAGGAGAACCGCATGAGCGTCTACCTCGCTGCCTCGGCCCTTGCCGAGTTTGTGGCTGACATTGCTCTGTGCCCTCTGGAGGCCACGCGTATTCGTCTCGTGTCGCAGCCCACGTTCGCTAACGGTCTCGCTGGTGCTTTCGCTCGTATCGCCCGTGAGGAGGGTGTTATGGGCTTCTACGCTGGTTTCGGTCCTATCCTGTTCAAGCAGGTGCCTTACAACATGGCCAAGTTTGCTACGATGGAGATTGTGCTGGAGCAGGCCCTCAAGATCTACGGCAAGAGCAAGTCGGAGCTCACGTCCACGGAGGCTCCTGTGTTCAACCTTGGCTCGGGTCTGATTGCCGGTTTCGCCGCTGCCACGATCTCGCAGCCTGCTGACACCCTGCTGTCGAAGGTGAACAAGACCAAGGCCGCGCCTGGTGAGACGACGGGTGGCCGTCTCTTCAAGCTGTCGAAGGAACTCGGTGTGCGTGGTCTCTTCACGGGTCTCAAGACGCGTCTTGTCATGGTCGGTACCCTCACGGCTCTGCAGTTCAGTATCTACGGTGAGATTAAGAAGGCTCTCGGCGCTACCAACTCGGTCGAGATCTCCAAGGCCTAATCATACTCTTTCCCGTAGAGCCCAAGACGTAACTCGGCGCGACATGTCCGACGTGCCTGGGCGAAGGCGCCTGTTGGTCCGTGGCCTGTCACGTGCTGTGGAGTGAGTCGACTGCGGAACGTCCGATGGCGCAATCGACCGAGGCGCCGAGAAAGTCGTGGCATGGCATGCCCATGGTAGACTTTACCCTTTCTTCTCATCATGGTCAATCCTCCGCACGGTGGTGTTCTTAAGGATCTCTTGGCGCGCGATGCATCTATCGCGGCGTCGCTGCTGGAAGAGGCTGAAACGTTGCCTGACATTGTCCTCAACGAGCGCCAGCTGTGTGACTTGGAGCTCATTATCACCGGTGGCTTCTCGCCGCTCGAAGGCTTCATGAACAAGGCGGATTATGAGGGATGCCTCACCAACATGCGTCTCGCTGACGGCTCGCTGTTCCCGATGCCCATTACGCTCGATGTTTCCAAGGAGCAAGTGCAGTCGCTGGGTCTCAAGGAAGGTCGCCGTGTGGCGCTCCGTGACCCGCGCGACGATGCCATCATTGCGATTCTGACCGTGTCGGACCTATTTGATGTCGATCGTTCGCGCGAAGCCAAACTCGTTATGGGTGCGGATGACCAGGCCCACCCTGCTGTCGCCTTTCTGTACAACAACGTCAAGGACGTGTACGTCGGCGGTGCTGTGCAGGCCATCAACAAGCCACAATACTTTGACTACGTCGAGCTGCGCTTCACGCCAGCTGAGTTGCGCCACCATTTCAACAAGGTGGCGTGGCGCCGCGTCGTGGCTTTCCAGACTCGTAACCCGATGCACCGCGCGCACCGTGAACTGACCGTCCGTGCGGCTCGCAAGCTGCAGGCCAATGTCCTTATCCATCCCGTCGTTGGCCTTACCAAGCCGGGTGATGTCGACCACTACACACGTGTGCGTGTATACCAGAGCCTGATGCCCCGCTACCCGAAGGGTATGGCCACACTTGCGCTCCTGCCACTTGCGATGCGTATGGCTGGACCTCGTGAAGCATTGTGGCACGCGATTATTCGCAAGAACTTTGGTGTATCGCACTTTATCGTCGGTCGTGATCACGCTGGTCCTGGCAAGAACAGTCAGGGCGAAGACTTTTACGGCCCGTACGATGCGCAAGATCTCGTCAAAAAGTACACGGAGGAGCTTGGCATCGAGATGGTGCCATTCCAGATGATGACGTATCTGCCTGACACAGACGAGTACCAGCCTGTGGACGAGGTGCCGGCGGGTGCTGCGACGCTCAACATCAGCGGTACTGAGCTCCGTAAGCGTCTGCGCACTGGTGCGCCCATCCCCGAGTGGTTTAGCTACGAGAGTGTCGTCAAGACGCTCCGTGAAAGCTACCCACCCAAGACGAGCCAGGGCTTTACGATCCTGCTCACGGGCTTGCTGAATTCAGGCAAGGACCAAATTGCTCGTGCGCTCCAGGTCAAGCTCCACGAACAGGGTGGTCGCAGTGTCTCGCTTCTGCTCGGTGATACCGTGCGTCATGAGCTGTCGTCAGAGCTTGGTTTCTCGCCGGAAGACCGCCACAAGAACCTGCAGCGTATCGCCTTTGTGGCTAGTGAGCTTACGCGCGCTGGCGCCGCTGTGATTGCGTCGCCTATCGCTCCGTATGAGCATTCGCGCCGCCTTGCGCGCGAGACGATCCTCAAAGGGGGTGGATCCAACAACTTCTTCCTCGTGCATGTCGCGACGCCGATCGAGTACTGTGAGAAGCACGATCGCCGCGGCAACTATGCCAAGGCTCGTCGCGGTGAAATCCAGGGCTTCACGGGCGTTGACGACGTTTACGAGGCGCCTAATGATGCAGATCTCGTCGTGGATGTATCGCAGCAGAGCATTGCAGAGATTACGCATTCGATTGTGCTGCTGCTGGAAGCCAACGGTCTGATTTGAGTGGGGGCGGCGGTGTGTAGATGCGTCAAGCTTATAGGAACAGACTACGACAGCAACGCCGATCGCATGGCAACTTGCCAGAGAGGTTAATGGGTGAGACTTGAACTTTGTTCATTCGATATCTCATGGGCTCCGCCCGCACAGGTTCGAACCCTGTAGTTGTCGTCTTTTTTTTCTACCTCAACCTGCTAAACCACGTGGCCGGCCACCTCCTCAGGCTGTGACGCGTCGTGACCGGCCTCCTCCATGGTCACGTCGTTCGCGTCCGAAGCCTGCGGCGTCGGTGGCGCCTCGAAGAGTGATTCGTCTTTGTCTTGTTCCTTGTCTTGCTGTTGCGCCTCAGACGGCTCGGTGGTCGGTTGATCGCGCTCTTCACGCAACTTCAGGGCCATCGACAAGGGCATCGTCATAGGGACAATGTCTCGTAAAAAGTCCATGTATTCATTTTGTGTCACGGCTTTGGCTGAATATAAGTCACACACACGTACCCATATCATCGTAGCGGACCATTTTGCGCTTCTCCAACCGCGCATTGGTACATCCTTCCTCAGCAAACTTGCGCACAAACAGCTCCTGCACAAGTTAGTATGGACTACACACCGTAGCTGCACTTATAAGAAACGTAGCTTCTTTACCGCAAATGTCCACAGCACTATCCGCCTTGATGATCTTCGATACACGCGCCAGGGGAAAAACCGTCGTGCCTTTCTGAGGTGGCAGGGATGGGCGCGGTGCGCGTCGTGAAGAGGCACTAGGCGCCACAGCTTCTTTGGTCGACTCACTCGACTCCGGCACCGACACATCCACAGGCGCTTCAGGCTGCTCTGGCGGCAGAGTCGTGGCCTGCTCCTCGGGGGCCGTCGTGTCCATACTGGAGCGTCGGCAACACGCGTGTCCTACGCGCGCCACCCGAGTTCTAGACCTCCACTTTCGCAGGGGACCTGCGTTGCTCATGGACGCCACGGAACCGGCGGCGCCAGCGCTGCCTTGGGAGGGCTACTTTCACCGCGATGCCGTCCTTTTTGTCATCGATGGTGGCATGCACATGCACGCAGAAGGGGAACATGAGACCGCCTTTATCATGGCTTTGCGTGCGGCCCTGCGCTTCATGCATATCAAGCTCGTCAGCTCGCCCAAAGATTACGTGGGTATCATGCTATGGAATACCGATGCGTCGCGGATGATCACGCCAAGCAAGAACCCTTTTTACCCGCATACGATCGAGTACGCAAGGCTTAAGCAAGTCGATGTACCGACGACCTTTGAGCTGCAACAGCTTTTGACCGCGATTCAAGCCGATCCGCCAGCGGCACGCACGCGTTTCCCACCAGCTAGCTCGACCATGAATGTGGATCACGTCTTGGCAAATGCTTTGCATGTGATCACTGCAAGCGTCCGGGCCGGCACACGTCGTGTGTTTTTTCTCACCAACCAGGACGAACCACATGCTCCCCCTCACAAAAAGTATATCCAGAAAGCGTGCATTGATCGAATTCGCGACTATTACCGACGAGGTATTGAGATTGAGCCATTTTTCCTCGGAAGCTCGTTTCGTATTCACGCGTTCTACGCAGACGTATTGGGAGTGTACGACGATGGTTTGCTGCAGGATACCCTACGCCCGTGGCGTTTGCGGCAGTTACAGGACCAAAATGGGCCAAAGCACAGTGCATGGGACTCGACGTCCAAATTTGCCGAGCTTGAAGAGCAGATCAGCAGTCGCGAAATGCCCAAGCGTGTCGTTCTCGATCTGCTGATGGACCTTGGGCCGCTGTCCAAGACATCCCATGCAACACGATGGCGCATTCACGTCAAGGGCTACAATCTCATTTCGGAGGCCACGCGCGACTTGCCTGTCAAGGTCACATCTTATGGCCATGAAGATCCATATGATTTATACGAGGTCGTGAACATCACACGCCCTGTCCGCGCCGCCAATGGCGAGCCTGTGCAGCCGGAACAGATCACGAATGCGTATGAGCTACGTGCCGAGTCGTCCCATGACTATGTTACGCTTAGTGATGAAGAAATGCAGGGCCTTCGACAGTGTGGCTGTATTCCGGGTCTCGTGCTACTAGGCTTCAAGGACCGCTCCACGCTGCACTTTTACGAGAACATCAAGCACGCCTACTTTTTGTACCCCTCGGACCTCGAACATCCAGGGAGCAAGTGTGCCTTTGCGGCCCTCCTCCAATCCATGTTGACCAAAGATAAGCTCGCTCTTACGCTGTTCACACCGCGTGAAAATACCACACCGAGTATCGCCGTGCTTTTACCCCAGGCAGAAGAGGTAGATGACGATGGCCAGCAGTGCCAGCCACCAGGAATGCATTTGATGGTGATGCCATTCGCCGACGACATTCGCGTGCCTCCCCCGATCAAGACACTCTCAGCCAAGCCCGAGCAAGTCGGCGCAGCCAGCAAAATCATCGAGAGCTATACCCGCAAAAGCCCCTTCAATCCCGACGTCTTCGTGAACCCGGCCCTGCAGTTTCATTACGACCTGCTCGTGGCCCAGGCTTTTCATACCCCCATGCCGACGTATCGTGACACCATCTTGCCCGACTACGACATGATCGAGCGGCGCTCTCGGTCGTTCATCCAAGCATGGCATGATACTTTGCAACAAGATGCGCGCGTTCAAACGGACAGGGCCGTCGAAAGCTCATCGGCTGTGCCAGACGACTTGATCCGCCGGCTGCATCGACAAGGCACCTTGGGCCAGCTCACTGTACACGACCTCAAGCAAGCCTGTGACATGTATGGCTTGCGAAAGCACAGCCGGAAAGCCGAGCTCGTGGATACGTTATCCCAACACCTATCTTCTCACTAGAGGCGCAGACCAGGAAACAGATCCTTGAAGGAGCGTGGGTCGAGCATGCTGTCGGGGTATGGCAGCCAAGCACTGCGGAAGTGCATGTGGCCACCATCCACCACAATCACCTGGCCTGTGATCCAGTTGGCCGCGTCGCTGAACAGGAATACGGCTGCATTAGCAATGTCTGTGCGTTCACCAACTCGCTGACACGGAATCAGCGACCGAGCCAGTTCTTCTGAGCCCTGTGGCAAGAGACGACTCGCGCCTTCGGTACCGGCAATCAGACCAGGAGCAATGCAATTACTGCGCACGCCAAAGGGCCCGAGCTCCACCGCCACCACATTCGAAAGAGCATCTACACCTGCTTTGGCCGACGACGCCGCACCCTGCCATGGCAAGCCGGAGTAGTGCAGCGTAGCTGAAATGTGCAAGTACGAGCCGTGAGTGCGTTTTATTTCATCCATCGTGGCGCGAACCGTGTTAAATGTACCGAGCAAATCAATCTCCAGAATCGCGCGGAAAGCATTCGATGACAGGCCCTGGAGAGGCGACATGAAATTGCCAGCCGCTCCGCAAATCACAAAGTCGATATGGCCGAACTTGTCAATGGTCTTCTTAACGATCTGCTGCATCGCCTCATATTGGCGCACGTCACCAGGCAGAGAAATCGCCTGCGAGCCGGTATCGCGCGACAGCTGCTGTGCTGCCTCCTGCAACCGGTCCGCCTTCCGGCCCACGATCGCTGCCTTACAGCCGAAGTGCATGAGCGTCTCGGTGATCTTGTAGCAAATACCGGAGCCCCCTCCTGTTACAAGCACCACCTTTCCGCTGAAAATGTCTGGTTTGAACACATCGGTGGCCGGCACAGGTTGGTGGGCATAATGAGATGCCATGGTGGTACCCAGTCTGGCCGGCACCAGCGGCGCGGAGATAATCTCAAGACTGGCCCGTGCGAGCATGGAGCTGAGCCGGCGCCCGGGTTCCGGATGATGTGGAGATAAGCGATACTGCATAGGGTATAGTTTTACACGTGACCTCTTTACGCAAGAGGGTCATCCTACGCCTCCGAAGTGTTTCTCCTACCCAACGTCCAGCAGAACTATCATGGTATGTGAACGTGTACAATGCCGGACTAACGCCATCAGCCTTCGCACAAGACGTTCCGTACCAAGGTCAAGCTGGCCAAGGCTGCCCGCCAGAACCGGTATGTATCTGTCATCCTGCCTAACACCTCAGCTCGATCCCCAACTGGTTCCGCATGAAGACGGACAACAAGATCCAGTACAACAAGAACCGCCGTCACTGGCGTCACACGAAGCTCTCGCTCTAAGCTTTGTGTCTTTTTTTCCGACATGTTGATCCATATACCGACCATGTCTTTCAGCCTGTGATACCGGCACTGCCCAGGGACGAGGGACATGGTCGATACAGGTCTGCGTGCCGCCGAAAGTGTGATTCTTAGTGCACGTACTTGCCAAAATACACTACCAGATGTTGGTGCAAACTTATGGCGTGGGAACACGCAAGGGCGTATGCAAGAGTGCTACGAGCTTGGTATAGTCCGGCTCCTTCTCCGGCGTCAGCCAACCATGCCGTATGAAAAAGTCCAAGAGGACTGGTGTCAGAGCGTCAGTGCACGTACCTAGAGTACAGTTGGGCTTGAAAGCGCCTGCTAATATGAGCTGCCAAATCGTGTCCCTGTCCATTAGCTCAAACGACTGCGCCTCTTGGTCGTTGGGCTGGAGGCGCACGTCGTTCGAGGGCAGGCACAAGTCGTAGAGGAACCTGTGGTCAGTCGTGCGGCGAACGTACTGCATCTCTGGCTGCCGGTACCCGTGCGTCGGTGTCTTGTAAAAGTAGGAAATGACGCCGACAGCGCGAATATGCTTGGTAACGAGCTCCGGATCGAGGCTCGCTTCCTCCTCGCACTCGCGCACGATGGTATCGAGCACGTTTTCGCCGGCGGTGATGCCGCCCGCGACCGAGTTGTCGTACATGCCGGGCCATGTCGCTTTGGTCGCCGAGCGTTTCGGGACCCAGATCCGTCCATCGGGTGAGTATGCGGTGAGGTGCACGCCAAACGTCGCAAAGCCAAAAAGCGCGCAGGCAGCGCGCTCGAGTGTGAAAGCCATGTAGGTGCGCTGCGACTTATCGCGTCCATACACGGCGTACTGCTCATGTCGCCAGCCACCCAGCGCCTCGGGGAACTCTCCGTGATCACGTAGCTGCACGGCCAGGGCATTGATGGCGTCTGTACGTGCGTCCACGGATGTGCATGCCGGGTCAAATGTCATGCGCCGCTCGTCCATCACAAAGGCGTGCGCATAGCGCTGCAGCACCGCCCAGA